TTCCACCACGGCGCCTCGCCTGGGTTTCGAGGGGTTTTGGTGTTTGGTGCGCGGAGCGTGCTCTGCTCCTGCTCTCGGCTTCTCGGGCTGTCGGGCCTGTGCGGCCTGCGGCGTGGGCTACTGGGGTTGGTTCGTTCATGATTGGTGCTCGTTTTCTTTTTCTTTTTTTTTTGTGTGTGTTGATAAGATGGTCGCTAGTCAGTTTATACGCGGCGGCCAATGAACGCCGCGCGCGTTTGGGGACTCCGGCGGAGACTTGGCGGTGTTTGGTGGTGACTGGTCACGCGTCGGCGTGCGGGGGCAGGTGGCTCAGTGCCTGTGTGGTTTTCTGCTGGCCGCAGCTGATCTGTTGGGCGACTTGGGGTTTTGCCTTTGAACTGTAGCCAACTAGCCGTGTCACGCTGTTGACCCATTTATTGTTTTTGCTACTGTATAATAAAGCCAACTTGGCTATAACTCAAGTTACAAGAGCCAAGTTATATAATAAATGTCTTCTATTTGTCTAAAAAAATCTCTTACTCCTATTCCTCCTCACAACACTTGCTATTTGGGTCCACTACGCTTGCAGGCGGGCTCGTTCGCGGCCGGCCGCTAACCCGCATCGCTCGCCGCAAAGTTTGTTAGCGGGTTTGCGGCCAGCCGCTAAGATATAAACTTTGCGGATAAATTTTCCATGGACATAACAGACTACGCTGCAAAACCCGCGAGACCCGCTACACTGCAATGGAGGCTACGTGTGCACTATCTCTCTGCGCGTACAGTATCTACACATATCCTGTAAGAACTTCGAACCTGCAAGCTAAATTTTCATATCCAGTTAATCGACGAGCAAGGATGATACAACTTTGCACTGATCATTTTAATTTTCATATCCCGGCTATATATATATTGTACGTTCTCAAATATAACAACATCAAGAAATACAGGTACAGAAACAAAGACACATATCCTGTAACAAAAGTTATTGTTACTAAACAAAGACATAACGTATGGATGCCACTCTGCAGCTCTGCATTGATTGAAACATCCAATCACCATGGGCTCATCGCCATTTCAATAACTGAAGCTTTTTTCTGGTCACTGTTTAATTTAGTCCGTCTTCATGGTCTTCTGAACTGATGAAAGATACATATACACACAACTCCCTTTCAATCTGCCGATTCTATTGAACAAATGTTCAGTATAAGTTGCAAACAACTTCCGTAGCATGTCTGTGAGCTGTAGCAACAACGATTACCAGAGCTGAACAAGAGTCCTACGCAATGATCTGAAACCTTAATCATCAAACAGCCATTCCATCAACTAGACAAGGCCATCAGAACCTACATGGGAGATTGGACGAGCTGAGAGCAGTCATCAACTCACTTACTCACATCGACGCAGAGGCGAGAATAGAGTTGAGGACCAAAGGAGGGCGACTCCCGACGATGACGGAGAGGCGAGAATAGAGCCTTGCAGGTTCTTGCAGGAGGACGGCGACAGCCACGGAGGAGGGTGACAGCGGTAGCTGTATGGTTCTTTCAGGGGATGCGCCTCTTCACTCTTGCGGGCTCTTGCGAGGCTTCTTGCTCGCCCAACGGGTTTGGAGGGTTGGAAGTCTTTGGGCCACGAAAAAATTACAGCTGGTCCACAATAGCCACGAAGCCAAGTTTTACGGGGCGAGCAAGCGGGTTACGTTAACAACCCGTCCCGCCTACAATCGTAGGGTCCATTGATGCATATGATTTCGTGCCTAACTTGGTGCTTACATGGGAGCCGAGCTCTCATCTCTCTCCTTCTTTCTCTTCTTCACATCAGCATTAGCTTGGCTATAAGCCTATTACTGTATTATGAAAAAAATAATGAAGAGACTGCTACAGACTACAGTGTCATGTCACTGGATGCACAAACGCGCCAGCCAGTTAGCATTTCAGCTTCGCAATTTATTCAGAGAATTACAAAGACATTAGTAACAGAATTGTGGTGAGCTGTTTCAGTTCCATCGAGTTTATTTAATTAAGAAGATGCATCCTATGCGGGGGGCACTTTGTAGTTAATAAAGCATAGTAAAAATCTTGACAAAAATTCAAACATATTTTAATACGTATTGAGATATGTGACGTGGCTTGTATGTTGTGTTGTAAGGCCTTCCACAGTGAGGAAGTGATGCCAAACAAACTAGACCCCGCATGCAAAAAAACCAGCATCACTCAAGTATGCTGCAGTGCGACGTTTTGATTTCAGGAGCCAGTAAACCAATAGAAAACAATAAAAGAGTCTGAAGTGCAGAGGCCATCTACCGTCTCTCTCACACATGTGCATGGCTCAGTAGGAAACAAAATACTTGTTTAATGAATGGGTACCGTCGCTTCAACATGCATCGCTGCGGAATCGTCTCGCAGTGTGCACAGTGATGCCTCAAGTGGAAAGAGAAAAATTTAGCTTCACTCCAGAAACACGCTGCGGAAGGCCTAACGCAATGTCACGAAGAAATAAAGTGAACTCTTGTGTTTATTGTTCCATGTATTTTGCTGCAACCAAGCTAAATGTTGTTTTGCCATGGAAAAGAAACAGGTTCCTAACTCCTAAGTGTTGTTGGTTTGGCTCTGACATCCGTAGATTTCCCTTGAGAGAAAACAAACACACTATTATGATTTCTTCTTATTGTGTGCCTATTTGGTTGAGCTGTGACTTTGGAAAAATGTTGTGAGTTGTGGGCTGTGAAAAAACTGCTATAGATTATGAGCTGTGAGAAAGCTAAAAGTTGTTTGGTTCAACAGCCGTGGCTTTTTGGAAAAGCTGCTATCAGTGGATTCCACCAAGAGGTCTAACATCATAGTCGAGGTTTTGTCTTATTTTCAATAATTCTTATATATTTTACATTTGTTATTGATAAAGCATACAAAGTAGTTTGAGATTATACAAATGCATATCTCTATACATATGTGCAGCGACCAGCAATCTCCCCTGGAAACCTAAGAACAAAATCAGAGATAAGTAGTAGAGGATGACTTATGAAGTTGTTACCAAGATGATATACTCATTATGTTGTAATAATACCAAGTGACAATATAGAAATCGTATGGAATATATTATACTTATGTTTCATGTTTATGTTAATGAGGGTGGGATTGATTCGAATTGACTTGAGAGCAAATTAGAATATCTATTAATATATGACGCTTTGTATATCTGTCTTGGGAAATTTAGAATCTACGACAAATTATGATGGTCGTGACGACATAAATTAAATGGAAAATAATTGTTTGCTAGATGTTTAGTCCAATTTGATGGTAGTTGTATGTCATAAAGGAATTCTACATGTACGTATAGATATTCAATTAGTATCATCTAACATATACTTATCAGAAACAACGTTGTGGCCGCTGTCTTTCCCATGACAAGGGTCGTCAAGATCCCATATTACTGATCTCCATGGCCGTTGATCATGCCGTATAACAACCCACCGTGCACCATCTTCGTGAATCCAAGCACTGCCACATGGTTAGTTGTGGTTGCACCAGGACAATGCGATCTAATTTTTGCCGCAGGCCCAAGCTAGCAAGTGCATTTTTGAACCAACAAGAGTCGAATGTGTCGCATGATGGCGTGAGCGTGCCTTGTGTGACTAGTTGCGCCACTCTCCCCCTTGTGTCGTCTCGCCTCCGATCCACTATTGATGAGTGCCAGTCACCGGCACATCACCACTTAGGTGTTGTCTTTATAAACTCAATCCCTCCCAAAGTCCCCATCTATGTGGATTGAAGTAAAAAACAAACTAAATTTCTACCTCAATACCTTTCAATACGTAGGGATTGAAGGAGATTGCTATGTTTCCATACAAGCCTTGAGTTGGATTAGTGAGATTCAGAGAATCTGGGATCTCGGCAGCAACATCGATGGCTTGATCGCGCCAGTCACATCAATCCAATCATGCTCACCATCTCTAGTCCTTATAACTGTGTCTATTCCTAGATATATTCTAGGAAAAAGAAATACTACTCCATCCATCCTAAATTATAAGTCATTCCAAAAATCTTAGAGAGTCAAAACGTCTCAAGTTTAATCAAAATTATAGAAAGAATTATAAAGATTTATGACGTCAAATAGATATACTATAAAATATAATTAATGAAAAAACTAATGATACTTAGTTGATATCATAAATGTTATTCTTATTATATAAATTTGATCAAACTTGAGATACTTTGACTCTCTAAGATTTTTGAAATGACTTATAACTTAGGATATAGGGAGTATTTTTTCAAAGATAGATGATTTGATCGATAGAGAGATGTAGTCATCTCATTTAATTTGAACAAGAATGTTACTTTGGTTGCTCAGAGGTGCTCAAAGACCAAATGATAGGGTGTGCATATGTGTTCATACGCTTATATATGAGAAGCATTTGAGATGTTCGTAAAGCAGAGAATGCGGGGGTACTTAGCATAAGATCGGTGGATGTTTAGGTATATTCGATTTCTAATTATGAGACATTTTGCCTTTTTATTAAATATATGTAGAGAGTTTGTGCTATGCATTTAGATATACACCGTGTCTAGATATATAGAAAAATAATATGGCTCCGTTCGGCTTATCTTAAATCCGACTTGTTCGGCTTCTTTTTTTTAGCCGGAGCAGTGTTTTCTCTCTTACAACATTTCAGCAAGAACAATGTTTTCCAGCCAAGATTCAGCAAGCCGAACGGGGCCTATATCTAGAAAAATCAAAATATTTTATATTTTGAAACGGAGAGAGTATATAGAATATTCGAATTCTAGGCTTCTAGCATGTACCAAAAACCAAAAAAAATGGAAAGGCATTTTTTTTTTTGAGAAACAGAAAAGGCATTTTAATAAGAGCATGAAGCCTATCAAGGTTTCCGGCCCAACTGGTTCCACATCCTCAGCCCATTGACGCGCAAGTAGTGGGCCTACCAGCCAGTGCCAAGGTGCGATAACGAGCGGCGGGTCAGGCAGAGGCCACAGCGCTAGCGGCACAGCCGGCGACAGAAACAACCGATGCCACTCGTCGGCTGTCCCCGCCGCGGCCCGCCGCTTTGGCTCGCCTGCCGCCACCGCCGCAGCTTGTATCGGGCCCGAGCCGTCGCGCCCAAATGCGAGGCCTCCACCTCTCCTCCGCTCCTGACCCGGAGGGTGTCCGCTGCCTCGCTGCTTCTCGCTGTCCTCCCCATCCCCGCGTCGTCGCCGCTACTTCCCGTCGCCTCCGCGTCGGAGGCGGAGGCGGCGGAAGGAGAAAGTGGTATTTCTGAGGGGCTAGAATTGGAGCGGTACACCGACCAGGAGCTGGGCTTCACTCTCGTCAAGCCGACCTCCTGGCCCAAGGTAAAGGATCAATTTGAACCTGGACGACGTCAATACTGCGTGACAACGTAATGTAGCCGTAGGAGCGTAGGATTCTTTGGAATTCGATACTTTGTGTACTTTGGGATTGTTGGATTGCACATGTGAATTTGCTGCGCTGAAGTCGCGTGGTTGGTGAAGGTGGAGAAGGCGGGCGCGACCGGCGCTGTTTCAGCAGGAGGGAAAAGGGAGTAACAATATTGGGGTTGTCGTCAACCCCGTTCGGCTCAATTCGCTGACGGAGTTCGGGACGCCGCAGTTCGTCGCGGACAGACTTCTGCAAGCAGAGAAGAAAAAGGTAGAAATGCCTGAACAATGTTTTCTTGGCATTGCAAGTATTCTGGTCAGGGCCACTTATGAACGCTTGACATTTGAAGTACACTATTTGTATGGACAACTAATGTGCTGATCATGATTCAGGAGGTTCTCATGGATACCTGTATTCTATGTACAATTGGTGAGATCTTCGGTACTGATAGCTTCCTAGCAGCTGATTGAATCATTTTGTTTAAAACAGTAAAGTACCAAGTCTGCCGAGGTGATTTCAGTGGGAGAGAGATCAGGTCATGGTGGCCTGACAGTGTATGAAATCGAGTACACACTGGACAGCACTAGGGGAGGGATGAAACGGATCTTCTTGGGTGCATTTGTTGCTTCAAGGAAGCTATATCTGCTCAACATAGCCTATTCAGACACCCAGGAGAAGCCCTTGGACAGCGAGACAAGAATTGTTCTGGAAAAAGCTCTACATTCTTTTGATTCTGTATAGTTGATATTTTTTATGGCAGTGGTATGGCACTTTTTCTTGTTTTCGGAATTTCTTTCACTTGAAAATACATTTGCAAGTATTTGTTTGTTTGTAAAAAGAGTGCTAATCTTACGGTTGCAGTGTCCTTTTGTCCAATACTGTTGCACCTTTATCAGTGATGTCAGGCTATAAGTTTCAGTTTAGATAATGAACTTCATCTTCCATAGATTGGCAACATTTGTGTCACAGGCAGTAAAATGTTGCGATCTTAATTACTAGCCTGGCATTACTGCATTTGTAATATATCTTGGACAAAGCGTTGGGCAGTGAGCCAGTGACATTATTACTCCTTGAAAACCTGTAATGCCTCGTGTCCTGAAATACAATCATTTGAGCATTAGATAAGATACAGGATGGGAAGAGTTAGAGGGAGAAAGAAAAGGCCAAGTAGTATTAAATTGTCTAAAGTTTATCAGAATGCCAGGCTCAGTTCATTTAAATGCTGGTCTGTGCTGAGTGCTAACTTGAGCAATTTTTTTGAAGCAGCTGTGATATACGGTTGGATGAAAATAGAGAGCAAGTTAGAACTTCCCTAATCATAGAACCTGAAGGATTCTTTCCTGTTTTCATGGAATTAAGAGTAATTGTTGTTGACAACCAAAATTGTTCATTTTGTGAAGTTGTCATTATGTTCCTCTCATCGAGATGGTCAAAAAACATATATGGAACGTCCAATTTAGAGTCCGGATGAAGGAGTTATGCCCCCGGGAAGATACTCTATTGCTGGAAGTTCCGACCCAAGTCGGAAGTTTCGACAGATGTCATAACTTCCGGGAAGCCTGAAAAAACCTGCTCGGGTGCCCGGGGTTATCCCCACGTCGGGAGTTCCAACAAAGGTCAGAATTTCCAACTCCCAGAAGTTCCGGCAGACCTAATAAAAAACCCTATTCGCATCTAGCCTTTTGGATTCCATCCGAACTATTTCCAAACTTGTGGGAAACTTGAAAAATAAGGCTTGGAGATGTTTCCTACTGGATAAGACCACCCCCTCTATATATATGAGAGGATCATGGCTGATTGAGTTTCCATCTATCCAATCGACAAAAAATACAACAAATTAATCTACTACCTCTTTTTACTCTCTTTTCCCAATCTACCTCTTCTCCTCGTTCTTCCTCGGGGCTACATGGCTGGAGGATCGACGACGACGACGCTCTAGAGCGGTCAGGCCGGCTAGAGCAGCCCATAGCCGCCGCACGCCCTGACGGGGTCCCTCCCGGGCGTGTGGGGTTTCGGATCTCAAGAGACCTCGCCGGCGTGTCTTGTGTATCGCGCTCCCGGTGAGGCTCCTCCGGCGACGTGTCTTGCGTTCATCGCTGGAGGCACAAGGTCCAGGTGTGGACATCCCCTAGGCGCTTGGCCGATCCCAAAATCGGCTAGGCCCTACATCGAGCGATCTAGCTCCTTATCGAGTGTGTGACCTAATTAAGCGTCAATAATTGTTTCTTTTGTTATAATTGATATTTTGTAGTTCATAAAATATTTATGATACAAACTTTATATGGACATGCTAGAGTGATTAGACAATGTTATAGCAGACAGTATGCGATTGGGACTCTAGAGATTAGGCACATCGTTATGTGTTCCTGTTTTTTTTTTTCCTTTTCTGCATTCCCTGCTCAAGGTACAATCATATTATATTTAGAAGCCAAAATTCTTCTTTCTCATGATATCTGCTGGAAAATGTATATATTATCCTAATAAAATGGAATGTTCAGATACCAGCACTTGAAGTCTTGTACTCTTGTGATTATTAAAATGTAAGAGGTTATTACACGAACATGTCATATGTTGTAATCTTGCCATCTAAATTTAATGGTATTGCCATATAGGAATGATCACAACAGTCAAACTCTGTAGAGAAATCAAGAACAATGCACACTTGCAGGACATAAATTTCTTTCATATGGATAAAGTATATTCTCAGACTTGAATGTTTAACCATCTCATTATTCTCCAAAAAGGGACGTAAAATTTCTCCATTCAAAGAAGCATTATACTTTTCAAAGTGCTCTTTTGGACATTCTGAAATAAGGTTCTTTTGGACCATTTCCTCGACTTTCTCCTTCAGATGACATATGAGGGAGAATATTCGCTGAAATAGAGACTTTTGATTCAGGCAACTGAGACTCTCTGGTCCCACCCAGCTGGGATGTGGATAGCATATGATGGTAGCACAGGTGCCATGTTGTCAGCTGCTTCAAAAAAAGTGTTAGAAAAGAAAAGGGATAGTACTATTTAGATGTTAATACTCTGTAGAAAGGTGCACTGGATTATTGTGGTTGTGCGAGATGAGCTGTAGTGTTGTTTTTAGATGGAGAAACGGTACTCATCAAGAAACGCTTTTCTGGCAAATGCATCCAAATTGTCAAGGTTGTTAGTGATTCTCCAATTATACTAGTGGCTCAACTATATGCCCCGGAATTGGGCTTTCGCAATACTATTGTACTTAGGGTCTTGATGAACTGGTCAGAAGCCGTAATCTCTCAGTGATTCAGTCCAGCGAGATAGTTGCATGGGAATATCATCCACTATCCCAGCCTCAAAGTTGGGAGTTGGTCAAAAGGAGCAAGACTTGTCCTCATCCCTTTTGGTTTTAAGAATCTTTTACTTCGCTGTCACTTGAGAAAAACCTGACTGATGATGGTGTCCGAAAAGATTGCATTGGCAGGTGCCAAGTTGTCCTGAAATCTTGCTGTTGATGGCCGTTTCACAACAGCACCACTCTGTTTGGTTTTGTTGGTACAAGTTGCACCATCAATTCTGAATCACGCTCCATGCTTTTACACACTGTTGTCAGCTGAGTTGACCATTTTGGATGCAACTTGGCATCAACAAACCTTCTGTGTCAATTCCTTGCTCTTCTGGCTCTCTCGGGTCGACAACACGGGGTCGCATGTCTATGCATAACAGGCCGACAGACAACAAGGCAACGTGTGACATGTGAATGGATCATGGTGTTCTGAACGTGAGCCTTTTGTTTGCAATCGTAAACACGCTCCCATGTCCCATGCCTGTGCCACCAACTGTCAGCGTTACGTGCAGCGAAGGAGAGACTGCGGGTTCTCGTCTTGTTTGGGCTTGTTTGGCTGATAAGTTATGGCTGAAAGTACTGTTGGTTGATTTAGTGTGAGAGAAAATATTGTTCGTTGACTAAAAAAATACGCCTTATAGGCCAATCAAGCCCAAACGAACAGGGCATCTATCCTCCGAATGTGGGATGGCCATGGCTTGTTCGCGCCTCGACATGAAACCATGCCAAAATACTCATCTGACTCACGTCACATGTATTACATTCTGATCCTGAGATCGCATACCTTCATATTCTAGCACCCAATTTCACTTGAGCGATTATTTCATTATTTTCCTTTGACTTATTTTAAGAATTTGAACTGTTAATTGTCACTCACCGAGAGATCAACTATTTTCAATTTATAACCAAATATATATAAAAAATATTAATATTTAATGTGCATGATTAGTATATTAATGAATCACCAAATATATTTTATTTTTAAAAATATTTAATAAAAATATAAATATTACTAATATTTTCTACAAACCTGATAAAACTTTAAAAAAATCTTACCTGTTTTTAGACGGAGGAAGTACACACGCAAGCTGCCGTAGACCTACTTGTATTTGCATGTCACTATTGATCACTCCGTATTCAGTGCAATATAATTCTTTATGCTGAAAGACGTGTGCGTCTATTTTTTCCTAGACTAGGTAGCGTGTCCGTGCGTTCATACGGGATAACTAACAATTTATACTAAAAACACATGGATCGCACGATAAGATAACAATACTGTTAAATTAAATACCAACGTTAAAGTGATATTTAATCCAAAAAGCAAAATTTATGAATTTAACATAGTTACAGAGTGCGCGGCGTCGCAGGCTCACAAACTCTAGAGCTTCCAGAGATTGGGTCGAATCCAACCTAGGGCCTCGGAACCCTGCATCTTTTCCTGGACGGGCTTCACTTCGGATGCACCGGTAGCAATATCAACGATCTCCAGTCGATGGACCAAGTCGTATGGATCCCCATATAATGGCTCAGACATGTAGATTTTATTCTCCTTGTACTTAGATACACTTGTTCTACTGAAGCTTTTATTGAAATATTTAGACACGAACAATGTCTGATCACCGATGTCCCTCACCCTGGACCACTCCGGCGTACGGGCGTGGAGGTTGCACTTGTAGATCGTGCTGTTGTAGGTGAAGCTCTGTGTCTCGTGGAACGTGCTCACCATGGCACCCACAATGTGCAGCTCACCGTTTGATTCCAGGTAGCTGCGGTGGCAGAGCCCCGCAGGTGGCGACAGCGATGGCAGCAGCGTCGTGGTTGGAGTAGCGCCGCCGGCGTTGCTGCTGCAGACGGAGATTTCTCCAGTGCAGTCGATCGCCAAGAACCTGTCTTGGCAGTGGACGATGGACCCCACGGAGAACTCCAGTTTGGTGTCGAGCAGCGTCCATGCGCTGTCGACTCCAACCTGGCAGAACGCGACCTCCGTGGAGCACCCAAGCATGGCCATGGCCACGCACTCGCGGCCGGCGGCGTTAGGCGGCGCCGAGAGTACGATCTCACGGAAAGAACATGTCCCTCATGTCTTCTAGCTTGATGGCTCTGCCTGCGGCATCCGTGTCCCCGTAGCCGTTGGTGAGATGGAGGACCCGCCGGCCGTGGACCCTAGACACGGGTTCTGATGAGGATGCCGCCGCAACGTGTTCGCCTGCTAGCGGGAGCTCAACGCGGGGGGCACGGGCACCGACAAATGGATTCAGTAGCGTTACGAACGTCGCCTCGTCCATGAGCGCCACCCACCCACACGAGGAGCCGCACGCCACCTTGCCGCGCACGTCGGGCAGCGTCTTGGACAAGACCTTCTTCTCCGGGACGCAGTAGAAGCCGACGCGGTCCGAGTCAAGGTCGAACGGGAACATCAGGAGCGGCCCGAAGGTCGTGAACGGGACAGCGGCGCGCCATGTGGAGCAAGCGGATCGGAAGGACGCCGTGTCGTGGCCTGACGCGAGACGCTGCCCGATGGACTCGAGGAGATCCTCTAGCAGGCCGGATCTCCAGTCAGGGAGAGGTAGGGACCTTCTCTTGGGATTGGGAGGCTGAGCCATAGAAGACATATGACATCAACTATGGTTCACGCAAGAAACAACAAGCGAGGGCGATGGAACACGTGAGTGTGAAAACCAAATGAAAGAAGAAAAAAACTGTCCCTTTTGCAAATATAAAGAGAGAAAGTAATTAAATGTAGATAGATTTGACAAGGTTCTCAAAAATACAAAGAGGTTCATTTTGTCTTAATTCTTTTTCCTTCTATGTTAATTCTCTTTCCTTTTGCTCTTTGCCATGTATATTGGTGCATGCAAACATGCAATGTGTATATGGATAGCACAATAATTTTCTACTTCCTATTTTACCGTGATTCCTCTATCACATGACAGGTAGTATTCAATCAAGGAGAATGACACGATCAATCAGTAATTAAGATGTCGTGGGATCGTAGGTGTGGGTAGACGGATGAACCAAAATAAATATCGCACCAAAAAATGTTCATACTTTATTCTTTTTAGTTGTAGAGGAAAAAAAAATTGCGTTCGTGGATTTCCTATGTCTACGTCGGCATGCACGGACCTTTTCAAAGGCTGTTTTTGGACGTTTGTGTACGTAGAATATACTGTCTTCGTTCAGAAAAGAATATAATTATGAGATCTGTATCGGTCAAAGTAGCTCAAGTGTGACTTAGTTTATAACAAATTAGTCTTAATATTTATGTCTTCAAATAAATTTATTATAAAAATATATTTTATGACTAATCTAATGATACTATTTTTTCATCAGGAATGTTTGTATTTTTTATATAATTTTGGTCAAAGTTCAAATTGATTGACTACTCGGTAAGCGAGAATTATATTCTTTTATGGACGGAGAGAGCAGAAAGGAAATGGCAACGTGCGGGGCCCACTTACTGAACGAGGGAGGAGAGAGTTTGCTGCGACGTCGCGCCATTGGTCCCATGGATCAAGTCAGTCAACGGAACGGCCGCTCCGGCTGGCCCGTCCAGTTTGAACGCGATGATGGCAAATGTGGATGCAACAAGAACACATGTAGCTGATGGCCGACAAATATGCAGCGTAGACTATGCTCGCATGGACGAAGTAAGATTGAACAAGCATCCTTTCTTAACTTGGCGTCGCGCACACACCAAATATTACTACGTTGAAAAGCATCACGCATGAACACAATATATTTGTTTTTTGTGTGTACAAAGATATGATGTTTCACGGATATACCAAAAGCTTTGCTATAGGAAGATGACATCACCGCCATGACACTCGTGGTCCGTCATATATACTCATACATGGAAACAAAAGAGGGAAGAAAACATGGTCATTCACGAGGCGTGCATGATACATGGTAGTGTGTAAAAGCACACAAACTCGTCACTGGAAGTCTGACCATTATTGCGCATAGCCCGTGGGCATGTTCGTGACAATTCATGCCTCAGACACTTCGAACTATATTTTCAAATCCGAATTGTATATATCTCATGGAGCTTTATAGGTTATGCACAGCGAAATGGTACGGGATATTTAGTTGCTCCTAAAAACATCGCTGTGATTATTGTATTCAGGATCGAAGTTTAAAGTGATATAATCGATTTCATTACTTCAATTTCGTAGCAAGCCGTGTATTTTTTTTGGTTGATTAACCTCTCCGTGAAAAACACACACAAATTCATGGTGCGGATTGGACAGGTGCAAAAACTGAAAAAAATGAGCAAAACAAGAATAATACTTTCAAAATTTCAATGCGAGCACCATTACAGCATTGCTTCTGCCTTCTGGTACACTTGAAGGTGCGCATATCATTTGCCATGCATGCATGTGTGGTAGTAGAGTCCCAGCTAAGCTGCTATCTGCGCGAGACGAGCTGTCTCGGATTAAAGAATCCCGTTAGTCAACCCAGGGGATGCGCGCAGTACACGCGGCAAAAAATCAAACCCTGGAAATATATAAATTCCACATCGCTGATCGCTCGCTGCGCGTAACGAACGCCAACAAACAAACAGCGGCGCAACCGCTGAACCGCGCCGCAACCCTCCTCCAGTCCCATTCCCTCTCCCCTGCGGCTGGCGGCGGCTGCCGTGCCCAACTGCCCACTGCGCCAGCCACCCGCGATTCCAGGAGCGCCTACTAGGCTTTCCTCCGTGCGCACTCCTCAAGACGTATCGTCCCCGGAGGCGTGACCCATCCAGAGAGAGACCACTCAAGGCAACGGTACGGCGACGGAGGCGAGGCGGCGGGGTTACGCTCCGTTCGGTCAGCGCGGCGGGAACACACACAACCTCGGCGCCGGCAGCTTCGATCGTTCGCCATGGCCGGCGGGGAGAGGGAGGACGCGCTGGTGATGGACTCCGGCGAGAAGCGCCTCAACGAGCTCGGCTACAAGCAGGAGCTCCGCAGGGAGATGGTACTTTCGGTTCCGACGCCCTTTTTTTTTTCTTCTCGTGTTCTTCGTAGTATGGGTTTGTTTCCGGACTTGTGGGAGGAACACGGTGCGATCAGGTTTGAATAAACCTGTTTACTACAGATTAAAATCTCGCCGTAGTAGAAGCCTGTTCTCCTTTTTTTTTTTTGAAAAAAAAACATCGGTACAAAGATGTGATTCTGATCGTCTTTCTTTGCGGCTGAATTGAGTTTCTTCCTTCTCGGTTCTCAAGGTTCTGATGTACATACACCCGTGTGCCTGCAGACGCTGTTCAAGACGCTGGCCATCTCCTTCTCGACGATGACGCTCTTCACGGGGATCACGCCGCTGTACGGGAGCAGCCTGCAGTACGCGGGGCCGGCGCCCCTCGTCTGGGGCTGGGTCGTCGTCTCCTTCTTCACCTGGTTCGTCGGCATCGCCATGGCCGAGATCTGCTCCTCCTTCCCGGTATGCGCCCCATGCTGAGTGCCGCACTCTCCTCTGCTTACCATTTCTTTGGATACCTGATTTGGGCAGTCGTGCGAGTTGGCAATTTCCATTTCAAAGGATTCAATGCCGTGTCATTAGTCATCACTTTCGTGTTTTTTTACTGTTGCCATATGTTAAGCAAGGTTACTTATTGAATTCCGTACCTATCTTCTGTGAGTCTGTTATTGCTCTGCATACTGTACTGAACCATTGTTTTTTTCTTGAAACATGTCTACTTACTGATCCCAAAAGAACACTGATAAATGTCACACACCGAATCATACAGCTGCTTCAATTCTTTATCAATACATAGACCGACGGTTAACACGTTGGCTTCTATTAAAAAAAATTCATACATCTAATTTGTATTGCTAATCTTCTTCAGTCTGCCCAACCATCCTTGAAAAGTTGCAAATCAAATTTTACTATCCTGACTTTTCAATGGCATGGTTGTAACTGCAATGCATTGTTCTTTTTTTTTTTGAACTTGCAATGCATTGTTCTGATATACTTGTGCGCGCTCGTTCTTCCGAGGAAGGCTTTGCTTGTTTGATTGTTTCTGATCACATATATTTGCAAGTGAATACTGACACTGTTTTCTTTTTTTGAGAGCAGACCACTGGCTCTCTCTATTTCTGGGCTGCTCATTTGGCAGGTCCAGTCTGGGGTCCGTTGGCATCTTGGTGCTGTGCTTGGCTGGAGGCCATTGGCCTCATTGCTGGAATTGGTACACAGGTAGCCTACTAACCTCCCGGAAAGTTTTTTTTTTCCTTAAGGGCACGTGCCCCACGCGCGCGTGTCGTTCGCGCATCCAAACCGTTGTGCGTAGCCCTGTACATGGTTCGGGTTTAAACCCGGACCAAGCCAGGGACCAGCCCATAGCAAACCGTATTGAGAGGCCATGTACGGGCTGGTTTGTATCGGGTCCAAACCGCTTTACCCATCTATGCTTTTTTTTGTTTGTTTGCCGTCACCAGCCGCCGCCGCCGCCGCATGCTCCGAAATTGCCCTCTGCTCAATCTGCTCCATTCGTTCGATTCAAGAAAATAAAACCAGCAAGTTCACGCTCCGTAGTTTTGCAAGCACCGGGAAGCCCCCGCGGCGCTTGGGGCCTGCTACCTCGCCAGCTCGCCGGTAGCAGCGACCCGCTCCGGAGGCTTGCACGTCGCTGCTCGCGCAGGCGACCCGCGGCCGGCCGCACCCATGCCTTGGCCGGGACCACCGCGTCGAGAGCCCGCCGAGAGCCCGCCGCAGCGCCGCTAGATCCTCGCCTCGCCCACCTGCCACGCCGGGGGCCAGCCCGCCATCGACCTCGCCGCCGGCTCGCTCCGCGCGCGGTCGCCGTCGACCTCGCCGCGGGGCATGCTCTGTAGTGACCCACGACCTCGCCGTGGGTGCTTGCTCCGTGGTCCCTGATCGCCATGGCTGGCTGGCTGCTTGCCTGCTTGTGCGCTAGTATATTTAGCCAGCCCGTGGAAACCGTTGAACCCGCGGGTATCAAACCGCTAAAAGTAATGTGTCGATGGTTTGGGTTGGTTTTTACCCACAGACCATGAAAACCGGACCATGTACAGGCCGAGTTGTGCGCACGAGGGCACGTGCTCTTAGGGGCAAAATTTATTCTCATAGTTTCTTGTAGCAATCTTCCGCGTGCAATTTCCATTTAATCCTTACGGGGAAACAATGTAAACTAATAAATGTCGATTTCACTACTCATACACAATAAATCATACACCCTGTCTAGACAACTCGTAATAAGTTGTACTATACTAAGTATAAATGTTCCATTCTATTCTACTCTGCAATTTCCTATTTGATTAGATCTTTGAACAATTGCACTCAGATGAACTTAACCAATCACATAACCCACCATGCCAACTCATCTTGCCTGCCTCTGTGTTGTTGCAGGCTTATGCAGGATCCCAAGTACTGCAGAGCATCATCCTACTCTGCACCGGCACCAACACGGGCGGTGGCTACCTGGCCCCTCGCTGGCTGTTTCTGGTCATGTACATCGGGTTGACGCTGATCTGGGCTGTGCTCAACACTTTTGCGCTTGAAGTCATCGCGTTCCTCGACGTGATCTCCATGTGGTGGCAGGTAACCTAACCGCTGCCTCATTTGGAGAGGCCATTCTTCTCTTACCGTGGAGCGCCATGCTCCTGTTTCTTGCCCGGCTTCAACTGCTGTTTGGTGCTTGCATTGCAGGTGATCGGTGGCACCGTCATCGTGGTGATGCTCCCGCTGGTGGCCAAGACCACGCAGCCGGCGTCGTACGTGTTCACCCATTTCCAGACGGCGCCTGATGTGACCGGGATCAGCAGCAGCGCCTACGCCGTCGTCCTGTCCTTCCTGGTGAGCCAGTACTCGCTGTACGGGTACGACGCGGCGGCGCACCTGACGGAGGAGACCAAAGGCGCCGACAAGAACGGCCCCATCGCCATCCTCTCCAGCATCGGCATCATCTCCGTGTTCGGCTGGGCGTACATCCTGGCCCTCACCTTCAGCATCCAGGACTTCAGCTACCTGTACAACCCGAACAACGAGACCGCCGGCACGTTTGTGCCGGCACAGATCCTGTACGACGCGTTCCACGGGCGGTACAACAGCTCGGTGGGCGCCATCGTGCTGCTGTTCGTCATCTGGGGCTCATTCTTCTTCGGCGGGCTGTCCATCACGACGAGCGCGGCGCGGGTGGTGTACGCGCTGTCGCGGGACCGGGGCGTCCCGCTGTCGTCGGTGTGGCGCCGCATCCACCCGCGGCACAAGGTGCCGGCGAACGCGGTGTGGCTGTGCGCGGCGGTGTGCGCGCTGCTGGGCCTGCCCATCCTGCGCATCAACGTGGTGTTCACGGCCATCACCTCCATCGCCACCATCGGGTGGGTGGGCGGCTACGCGGTGCCCATCTTCGCGCGCATGGTGATGCGGGAGGACGACTTCCGCCCCGGCCCCTTCTACCTCGGCCGCGCCAGCAGGCCCGTCTGCCTCGTCGCCTTCCTGTGGATCTGCTACACCTGCTCCGTGTTCCTGCTCCCCACCGTGTACCCCATCAAGATGGACACCTTCAACTACGCGCCCATCGCGCTCAGCGTCGTCCTCGGCCTCATCATGCTCTGGTGGCTGCTCGACGCGCGCAAGTGGTTCAAGGGCCCCGTCAGGAACATCGACGAACACAACAACGGCAAGGTCTGAACACCACCTACGTGACTACGTCAAGCAACACGCAATTCTCTCTTTTTGAACACCATGGGTGCTGAGGAACACCGTGCTCTCCCTCTGTGTATGATGCTGGATCAGTGGGGTTTAAATTTTAGATTGTGGAGTGAGACCTCTGGGTGACATTCAAGGAAACTAGAGGTCGACCCAATATGTAGAACATTGGAAAAATTGAGCAAACACAAAAGGAATATGAATGACCAACAAAGTACAAGCATGGGGATACCCCCTCTGTAACTAAGTTATTTTAGGCTTGTTCTAAGCCAAACTTCCCAAACAATATATGACATGTTCGCTTGGTCGTAAACGATCGTAAATTTACAGTCAGAACAATATTTTTCTCTCACACCAAACCAGCCAGCAGTACTTCTTCACGAACCAGCAACGATCCAGCCCAGCCAACCGAACAGGCTGATAACTTCGATCAAGTTTTTAGATGTAAGCCAAAGAAGAGAAAGGGACACATTTTTTTTGTGGAAATGAATCAAGCGAAGAGCTGGTAAAAGAAGAGAAATGAAGGAACACACAGGAAGAACAAGTAACGCATCGAGAAACACCGATGCTAAATCTCTATTCTAAACGGTAGTATGAAATTCTGTTCATGCTTTCTCCTAATGTCCCCACTCCTACAACTCTTACACGCTCTCTTTCTTCCTCTTCCCGGTCTAACGTGTTGTTTGGTTAGGAGAAATGTAACGCAAATGGAAATGAAAATCAGATCACATCCTATATGTTGCCATAACAGTGACAGCTTTAAATTCCATTACGTTTGCGTTACCAATCGTACCACCAAACAGCGCCTTAATGTCTAATCATGTATATGTTGTGTGTATATGTTGTGTATCTCTTACACAACTGTGTGTATGTTGTGTGTCGAATGGTGGCAGCCATTGCATATTTTATTGGAGGGAGTTAAATCATTGATCAACGCAGAGACGTAAACAACCAACGGCGATCGCAACTCTTAAAATACATTTACGCCTCTCAAGCTAACGAGCTAGCTCTGATGACTAACGTACTAGACTACGTATCCAAGTTGTCGAACTAGGTGCTAATTTCCCACAATGTTTTAGTTATAAAATCCCTAGGTGTTTCTTTATTTCCTTTTATTTACTATATATATATAAACTCGGGCTCATTAGTTATCTCAACAAACTAATTATTCTGAAGCTACAAAAATTAGAGATGGCACATAATAATACTATGGAGCTACTGTAAAATTTTCAAAGCTAACACTGCCATCATTCTATCATAAAAAATCCCACATATTTGCATCTTAATAATATTAAGCATTTTAGTTTAATTTAAGAACTCCTACAAATATTATAGAACTTTGTGGATAAGATATACTGGTGGATGGAGCATGATTTTAGGAACCTAACAATATTAGTTTCGCAATTTTTGATCCACTACACAAATTTATATTGAATTTACAATTTACCTTATAAACTAAATTAGAAAATGTTTTAGAATTCGAAACGGGCCGGCGGCAACCACCTTGGCCCAGCAGTCCAACGCGGCCCACGCGGAGCGGCCACGCGCGCAGCAGACCGGCCAAGCAAGTGGTCCGTGGCGGGGAGCCCGCGCGCGTGCCCGCGCTTTTGCAGAAAAGTCCCCGTACTACGAGTTATTTCCCGACGCCTTTGCTCACTATTGCACAAGAGGCGCATTTTTCATCCAGCACCCCCAACAAACCCATCCTCACATTGAGCCAGTCCCCGAGACACCCGCTGTTTGCCAGCGTCGCTCCGGACGGCGCTGCGCGGCCACGCCAGCCCGCCCAGGGACCGACTCGGCGCAATAAGCGGGTAGATGGGGAACTACGAACCAACACGCAATGACGAGGAGCAAAATGGAGCTCCACGGTGCACCACCGAATGCTATCCACGACGGTGGGTAGAATCGCGCGACGACGCTGCTGTTTCGGCGATCTAGAGCTCGAACAAGGCGGTTGAGATGGCGGGGAGGCATCAGGAGCTCACCACGGTTCATGCTGTGGTGACGGTTGAGTCGGAGGGAGTTCGAGCCGAGCTAGCCATGTGCGCCCGACGGGCGCGGCGGTGCTCCGGTGCCAGCGGCGGATCCAGAAAATATTTTAGGAGGATGCTGAACAACACATACTGCTCAATCTTAAGTCTCAGCCCCCCTACACTATAGAACTTTGCCTAAAAATTTATGGGGCTCTACAGGGTTTTCCACAGCTCCGGTATGGGTAGGAGGGGCTCGAGCCCCCCCCCCCCGCCCCACCATTGGATCCGCCCATGTCCGGTGCGGACAAGGTGGCGTCAGCACGTCGACGACGCACGCCCTGGCCAAACGAAGACGAGCACCGGATAGAGGAAGTTAACACGAGCTCAGAAACACCCTCAATTTGATTATTTTCCCACGGAGTGGGACTTACCCCAAACCTATGGCTGCGGCGGCGCCTATGGCCGACGGCAACCAAACTGCCAAATTGGCCACCTACGAGGCGCACCTGTGCCCTGATACGAGTCGGCCCGCAAGCGGTCACTTAGCTACTGGAGCGCTGATCCAGGGTGGCGTGCAATAGACCACGAGCAAGGTGAAAATGGTGCAGCTCTACTGATCAAGGCAAGCAGCGACGGCTATGCTTGACCCGGCCAAGGCCGCGTGATAAATACGCAAGGACAAGCGGTTGCGAGCTACCAGGATGGGACGGCTCATCCGGGCGGACAATGTCTGCGGCAGCGAAATAGAGCGAAGCGCAAGCCGCTGCGCGGAGTCAAGGCGCGACGTGATGCGAGAGGAGCGATGACATCCCGACAAGGACAAAAGCGACGAGGCAGGGAAAACCGCTAGCGACTCGACGGTAGTTGGATTGGACGGCGAGAAGAGTGCCACGTCGATCCAATGGCGGCCGCCAAGGCATTGGCCCGGCCCTACGCGCGGCATAGCGGCATGGCGCGAGCCAGACAGCACGAGGGCGTAGGAAGGGGAGGGGCGCGCCGTGGCGTCGGCCGACACGCGACAACGACACGCACACAGACCCGAGGAGAAAGCCACGGCCGGCAACAGCCGAGACCGATGCCCACCACGCGCGTGCACACGGTGACCGCGAGCCTGAACAGGAAAGTGACAAGGGTGACGTGCACGAGTTTTAAAGCGAACGAAAAACTGTGCCTAACCCGACCCGAGACCGACCAGCTATCCCAACTCGCAACTGGGACTATCGGCTAGCCAAGCGAAGTAATCCCTACGCCCCAAGAGCGACTAGAGATGAAGATACAAGCCCACCAATATGAGCTCGTCGCCCGATCACGGGTTCATGAACAGAACGTTCATGACTTAGTTCACAGCGCGTTCTGACGAGTTTCGGTTAATTTTTGTGAGAACAACGTTCCACCCACACCATAACTACTCATACTATGCTGATGTACTCGCCGTGGTGCAATCGATCGTGCAAAAACATAGACATACTGCTTACTCCATTTTTGTTGGAATTTAATCGCAAAAAACGACACAGTCTGTCATTTCCCACTTAGAAAAATTAAGGGTTTAGTTTGATCTATAACTTTTAACACTTTTGCCATGATTTCTAAAAGGTCTAAGCCTTGTTAATTTCAACTAACTAACATACCATGACCTAGTCCATACTTCGTACTAACTCGTAGGAACAAAATATTAAAGCACTATTTAAGTATGTTCCACTATATAATTTACCAAAGATAGCACTTTAAACTTAAATTATTTGTTTGCCGACTTAACCGTGGAGAGTGGATTTAATTTCAATTTGATTTCTGAGCTTCCCAAAAATACTAGCTGATATTATTATTCTCCAAGATTTAAAATTGCATGCCTAGCTACGTAGCTTGCCCTCAAATCTTTATTTTCACACTATACTTCAGTTATAATTGATCGTTGTTCATAGAAATTGTTTTCATACCAACAATTAATACAACTCATTCTATTGTTTTTGTTAGGAGTTTTCATCACCACCTCTTTACGCTAAGTAAACGAACTTACTATATTATTAGATCTATTTCTCAGGCCATAATCTCAGTGCTTAGCGAGCTCGTAACACCAGAGGTGTTACACCAATTATCCTTATTTGATATTATAAATATTATTATTTTATTATATAAATTTGGTCAAACTTGAGAAACTCTTACTCTCCAAGAAAGTTAGAATAACTTATAATTTTAGATGGAGGGAGTAAATAGCTGTGCATGTATATCTCGATCTTGCAATCATGTTTCCGTTGTCGTTTCAACCCTCATTGACATTATTCGAGATATATAGAACGTGATCATATACACTGCTCGATTACTTTTCACGATAATATACATGTTGTTTATTTTATGCAACAAGAGATGGTGATCCAGGTAGCTGGGAACTATCTAGTATTAATTGGTGCCTCGTATGTATGAACATTCCAAACCGCTACCGCGTTGCACCCTTGTAGTCGGAGTTTGATCCCTCCTAGGGGTGAGTTTGTCGGTCGGAGGCAAAAAAAACCCTCGTCTATCCCACATTAAAGCACATGTCTAAGGGCAGCCCAGTCTTATGGGAGCTACATGTGAGAAAGTCTTCTTATGTACACATGTGGTCCTTGCTTGTAATTATACAACTGTCATCAGACCTGAATTTTTTTCATGATGAGCCTATATCTCTATACTAGTATTGTCGGTGTTTCGAGTAAACACCAACGAGTAAATTTCTAATATTGAGCGTCTAGCTTGGATGGTGTGCTAAGAGGACATGAGGTTTATTCTAGTTCGGGCGGAATGTCCCTACATTCAGTTCGTTGCTGCTGCTCGTATTACTAGCACTGAAAAGTTCGTAGTAGGGGTTACAAACGGGTGAGAGAGGGACAGGTCCCAAGTCTTTGGTGGAAAGAACGAATGGGTATCGAGAGCTCGGTTGCTGCTCGGCTATGTGTTCGAGGTTCGATGCTAGTGGTTTTGATCTGACGTGGTGCGATGCCCCTTAGTGGGGTGCCCTGCTTTCCCTTTTAT